AGTAGAACTGAGAAGGATTTTCCAGTTTTATAGAAGTGTTGATAAAATTAATGTCAAGTTACCAAGGTAGCTCACGGGCATCTACCTGCAGCTCCATTCACCAGAGACAGAAAGGGGAGCAGAACAGGCAGATGGACAAAGGACACTGCTGAGGGGAAAAGTGGGCTGGTCAGAAGAGGTCTGCCACACCATGTGAGTCACCTCTGGGGCAGGGATCGAACTCATGCTGAAGTGGCTTTAGCTTCTTAGTGCTGTGCTTTAACCTGCTGCACCACCAGGAAGGGCTGGATTATATTTTATTAATTTGAAATATATATACTTTATTATTGTTTCACTGTTCAAAAAGGCACAGACAAAACTGGAGACAGGAGATGACCAGAGCTGGGAAGGTGGGGTTGGTGACCCTGCCAGGAGTGGGTGATGGGCAAGACCATCCCATAGAAACCCCTCTTTCCCAGAATCCGGCTGCCTAGGACACTGTAGTCTTTGTTTGAAAAGGATCAGGTTGAGGGACAGTCCCAGTCCCTTTCTGTCCCATCTCACTTTGCAAAATGCCCTGGCATGTAGTTTTTCTCTAAGGTAGGCTAGGCTATTTAGTTTGCTTCCAGTTATTAAACCTGAGTCACTTAAAAATAAAGCAAACAAAATGATGCCAAACTTAAGCAATGCCCAAAAAAGCAAGGTTTTTTTTCCCCCTTTTGTTAATTATTTTTAATTGTTAATTAAAAAATAATTGTTAATTATTTTTAAAGATTTATTTATTTATGCATATAGCACTGGGGTACAGTCCAGAGGCACAGGGGTGGTGAGAGGATTCGCCAGAGACAGTGGGGAGCAGAACAGGCAGATCTACTGAAATACTCTGCTGAGGGGAGCAGCGGCCAGGCCAGGAGAGGTCTGCCATGCCATGTCACCTCCGGGGCGGGGGATCGAACTTGCACTGAGGTGGCTGTGACCAACTAGCAGTGCTGGGTCCTAACCCATGTGCCACCAGGGAGGGGCCCCCTTTTGATAATTTTTTAAAATAATATAATAGTTTATTTTTACATCATTTTGAGCGTTTTTCTATCTCAGTTGTAATCCCCGTGGGCTTCCCATCACCAAATCACCCGTGTGCCATCACTATAGTCTAGGGCATTTCCCTCCATCCATTGTTCCTTTTGATAATTTTTATAGCTTTCAAAATTTAACAATGGGTATTACTTTTGTAATACATAATTGATAAAGAATCTTTAAAACTATTATAACCTCAGTGCTGCTTAGCCTGTGGGTCCGCATCTTAATGGTCACTCAGAGGAGAGGTTCTGCTTCTTTTAACTGAGGTGACTGATGTGGCCGAAGTCATTTGGGGACTCACCTTGAGGTGAATTGTCTAAGAAGCTTGACTCATTTCTGGTAGTTGATGCTGGCCATTGACTGGGCGGTATGTCTCCATATACCTGAGTTTTCCCCCATAGTGTTTCATTTTAAAACATACTAAGAGGATGGGCAAGCCCCATTGTGCAAATGTTCTTGTCTCTCTGTCATATATGTTAAACTTGGTCAAAGTTAGTCACATGGCAAAACCTAAAGTGAGTGTGGGCGAGGACTCTCCAAGGGCACAAAGATATAGGGGACAAAAAGGCTTTGTGCACCAGAAATCAATGTTGCATTCTACTGCAGGTGAGCGATACGGCCACCCAGGATGCTATGCAGAATGTCCGTGTCCATACCACATCCTAGATCAACTGAATAGCAGTCTCTTGGGGTGCCATCAGTATTTTTGAAGTTTCTAGGTGATTCCAATATGTAGTCAACTAATGGAAAAAATAATTCCACTTAAAGAAATTTGACACAATCTTTTTGAAGTAGATTTTTATCATTGGTTATTAGTATTCTAGGATGACAGGCAAGAGTTAAGAGTTTAACATAAATATGTTTTCATGTGCCCACATGTATGTCTATAGATTTCATATCAGTGAATGGTCATTAAAAAACAAGGATGGGCCAGGGAGGCAGGAATATCTCAGCAAGGAGTGGGAGTTGACAGGCGTTGTTAGGCTCATCCATTGTCTATAAACTTTATCACATCTGCCTGATGACTTTTTTAAAAGCTACCTTTGTGGTCAGAAAGTTTGTGTCTTAGACCTTATTTTGTATTTTGAGAATGATCTTCCATGGTCCTCTCTTCTTTGTCAGTATCATATATGATGGTTAAGATAAACCAAGCAGGGTGAAGCAAAAGTAGTGAGATACTGAAGGTAGGTAATTGGGGTAGTCCCGTGAGAATAATCATTTTTCTTCAGTAGAACTGAGAAGGATTTTCCAGTTTTATAGAAGTGTTGATAAAATTAATGTCAAGTTACCAAGGTAGCTCGCGGGTAGCTCACGGGCATCTACCTGCAGCTCCTTGGAATATATATGTTGTGTGTTGTGTGGAGGAATGATCCTGATGTTATCTCAGCAACAAAGGTGGGATCATTGCTTGAAATGGTAGCTTGAAGTATGGGAAACAGGATAGCGTTTGTCAATCTGCTGATCTTGATTTGAATCCCAGTTCTATTGTTTTCCTTTCGTATGACCTTCGTTAAGTTATATAACCTCGTGAGGCTCAGTTTCATAATTTGTTAAATGAAGATATTAGAACTTCTTGGCAGCCACTATGAAGATAAGAGGTAATGCATTTAGTACACACCTGACATTAGACACGTGGTAGCTGTTACTGCTTGTTACATAGATTCTTAACAGAGTTTAAAGATTGCTCTTGTGTAATCATGCCTCATATTTGAAAAGTTTATGCTTGGGTGAATAAAGAGTTTTCATTCAACCAATTCATGTTTCTAAAGCAAAGATCCTTTGCATAATTTCATATTTAGTTATGTCTGGAAACATTTTTCACTTCCACAAGCGGAGGTGGAATTGTGCTGGTGGCATCAGGTAGTTAGAAGCCGGGAATATTACTAAATAATTTGTAATGTACAGGATAGTGCCCACAACAGACTCCCAAATTTCATTTCCTGACCTAGACCAAATTGCACATTTATACAGATCAAGTTGCACAAAGCCTTTGCAATCCTCTACATAATCCTGGTGTTTTGTTGAGAGGATAGAGCTCTGTGTAATATATATTTTTTAAAGATTTATTTATTTTCATACAGAATTTGGGTACAGGCCAGAGGTACAGGGGCAGTGAGAGGATTCACCAGAGACAGAGTGGGGGGCAGAACAGGCAAATCGAGGAAGTACACTGCTGAGGGGAGCAGTGGGCGGGTCAGGAAAGGTCTGCTGCGCCATGTGGATCACCTCTGGGGATCGAACTCACGAGGAAGTGGCTTTAGCTTTTCAGTGCTGTGCTTTAACCCACTGCGCCACCAGGGAGGCCCTGTGTAATATTTTTATGTGAAGTGTACCATATTCCTAAAGATTCCAAAGATTTAAAATCTCTGATTACATCCTAGCAAAACTTTGTGTGTGTTCAAGTGAGATTTGGGCTCTAAGTAGGACTTTCACTTCAGCCTCTTAATTCTTTTTTGAGATTATACACAGGTAATTCTTCTACCTAGTGGGTAGTGTGAGCTAGTTTCTGATCTTCTTTCTAGGGAGAGTCTGTGGTTGAAAGCCCTCACTGAGTGTCCAAGAAAGAGGCTAGCTGTTATGGAGGCAGCAGCCTGAACCGTCAAGCATTGAGCAAATGGATGGGAACCAACTTTCTACTCTGTGTGGTGTCACCAGGCAGGAGAAAGGCTCCAAACTGATCCCACCTTCAACAACACAGGCAGATAACCTGGGAGTGAATTGGCTACTGTCCACTGCTCCACCCACTGGGAATCAGAAGGTAGACTAAGGGGCTCTGCCTAGGAGGCACGTGGAGCAGAGAGACATGTAAAGAAGTCACCCTTGCTTCTCTGCTTAAGACTTGCACCAGGGACTTGGGGGAGGTGGAAGGAGACACGAACTCAAGCCATGCAGACACACTTGGAAGAGACATGAATGAGAGACCCATGGGAGGCTTACAGTGTCAGCCATTATCTTGATTCATACTTTGATCAGACGTGTGCAATGACTGCTATATTATGGACGTTGCTGTCTTTGTTCCCAATCCAGTATAAACACATGGAAACTGAAGTCTGCAGGGTACAACCTGAAAATATTCACCCCAGAAAAGGTCTGCTTTTACAATTATGTGAAGGGAGGGTCTTTGGGGGCTGACATTCTAAGTATCATGTAGAGATTTAAAAAGCCAAAATACTAATTATTTTTTATACTGTGTAAGTCTTTAAAAAACAAAACCTCAGCTCTTTGAGGTTTTTCATTAGCTCTTTCTTCAGTAATTCTGATCACGTTCCAATGATGGAAAATTTTTTTATACTTAATTGCAGTGGGCACTCCTTTCCAGTCAAAAATGATAGTCATGGTTCACCTGAAACCAATAAATATAGATTGTTTTTCATGAAAGGAAGGCTGGTAATAAAGCTGTCCTTTCAAGATGCAAATATGGCTTATAAGGCAAAAACATTGATACCCTTTCTGGTTTAGAAATTCTGTCATTATTCAGAAAATATTTTTAATCATGCTATGAAATATTTTTAGAACTGAAAATTAAAAGCAAACAGAACACATGCTTCCCTCAAATATACTTAGCACTCCAATCACTTAACATGCAGATGCCCCCTGATCTTAGAAAGCCAAGCATGTTGCTTCTTAAATATTATGACTTAAATAACTAGTAGTTAGTAACTGATATTTCTGAGGATTTTTTCCTCCTTCTAAAAATGTACCTTGAAATTAAAATTCTTTTGGAAATGATACTGAACATTCAGAATATTTACTTGAAGACTTAAACATTTGTGGGATACTTATTTACCTAAAGCTTAAAAAATTTAAGAAATGTGGGCCCTCCCTGGTGGCCCAGCGGGTTAAAGTACAGCACCAAGAAGCTAAAGCCACTTCCACATGAGTTCAATTCCTGCTTGCCCCAGAGGTGACCACATGGCGTGGCAGACCTCTTCTGACCCGCCCGCTGCTCTCCTCAGCAGTGTACTTCGTCGATCTGCCTGTTTTGCCCCCCACTCTGTCTCTGGTGAAGCCTCTCACCCTCCACATCTCTGGCCTGTACCCCAGTTCGGTATGAATAAATAAATAAGTCTTTAAAAAAATTTAAGAAATGTAAAATGCAAAGTTGGAAGAGATCTGAGAAATTACAGAAGAAATGCTTATAAAATGGCTAAAATGTACCAAATAACAATATGAAAATTAATAAGAGCTCCACCTGGCCCGGAGGAGCTCCACATGGCGAGACAGACCTCTCCTGACCGGCCCCCTGCTCCCCTCAGCAGTGTAGATCTGCCTGTTCTGCTTCCTGCTCTGTCTGGTGAATCCTCTCACCCTCTGCATCTCTGGCCTATACTCCAGTTCTATATGAATAAGTAAATAAATCTTAAAAAAAAAAAGTACTAAGTGCCTTGGCACATCAAACAGAAACCCGTGTTCTAGCTGTGAACCTTCAACACACATTTGGCAGTAGCAGAAATTAAACATAGCAAATAAACGGTATAATCAGGATGATGTGCAGAGGCTTTTGACTGTCTCCCAATGTCTGTTTCCCTTCTAAACTACTAGAGACCATAATTTTTAAAAAATTTTTTTATGATAATAGTTTATTTTTACATCACTTTGTGCCTTTTTCCATCTCAGTTGTAATCCTGTTGGGCTTCCCATCACCAGTTCACCCATGTGCCATCACCATAGTCTCGTACACTCCTCCTCCCCATTCTTGATCCCATTCCCCACTCTACCCCCGTAAAATGTCCCTGGTATGTTCATCATTATTATATTTTCCCCCTGGAGGCCATGATTTTTAGCCAGCTCTCTGATTGCCCAGAAGAATATTTCCTACTCCTCCTTGCAGCTAGTTATAGCCACTATTAGTAGATTGTGACTAGGTGACTGTATGTAGAAGTGATAGGTGCATCTTCTGGGTTGTGCCCTTAGAGAGAAGGGAGGGAGTGACCTCTGGGCCTGTTTTCTGAAATGGGGATGTGGCGGTCAAGCATGTTGGATCCTAAAGACAAATGCCATGTCCTAGCAATAGTGGAGCAACGAGGCAGAAGCTTGACACCATATCCCTGTCACCATGGCACTCAGCATCAACTCTAGACTGATTTTATCCCATTGTTTTGCTCTCAGTTTTGGTTCTGTTACAACAGCCAAGCCTTTATCCTAATACACAAGAGGCACATCTCAAGCAAATACGAAGAACAGCATCAAGAGTATAGATGGTCAAAATGGTTGACAGTGTGAAGTGTTGGCATGTATGTGGAGAAAATGGAACTCCCTCAGATAATGCTGGTGGGAATGCAAAATGGAACAGGCACGGTTTAGCAGTCTCCAAAAAATTAAACAGTTACTGTATAGCCAGCATTTCCACTCCTGGGTATCTGCCCAACAGAAAATAAGTCCACACAAAAACTTGTATGTGACTGTTCATGGCAGCATTATTCATTCTAGTCCCAAACTGAAATAACCTAAATAACCAACAACTGAGGAACATTTGGGCAAACAAATTATACATCCAAATAATGGAATACCACTCTGCCATAAAAATGAGCAAACTAAGAATACATGCAACTCTGCGGTATGCTACATGAGTGACAATTATGAAAGAAGCTAGACATGTGAACCTATATGTTCATGGTTACATTTATTTTCAATTTCTAGAAAAGGCAAACCTGCAGTGGTAGGAAGTTCAGTGGTTGTGTGTAGCATGGAGTGGCTACAAAAAAGTACAAGGGATTTTTTTTTAGGTTTTAGAAATGTTCTTAAACTGTATTGTGATAGTAGCGCAATTGAACTATCACCTACTTAAAGTAGGTGAATTTTATATCATGTAAATTATTCCTCAAAGCTGTTTTTAAAAATAAAGAAGATAGGCAAGCTACTGGTGCTGCTATCAAAGGCTTAACTGTTACTCTTCGATTTATGCATGTTTCACAGTTAACCATGTTGCTCTCTTGCAGTAGTAGACCCGTGAGAAACAATGCAGAAGTGCCCAGAAATAAAAACGGATTTGTCTTAAGACACGATATGTTAGAGTGGTGTGTCACAAAGTAATATATATCCTTAATGAGGAAAAGGTAAAGGAAGGCTATAGCAGCTGCATTTTGATATCATAAACTTAGAAGCGAGACTAAAGGACTTTAATAGAGTCTTAATTGTGAGCCACCTTTTCCTAGAAACTTGGTGTAACGCAGACTTTTAAAAAATAATTTTCAGAGACTGCAGACAGAGTGGCATTGTAACAAAGGTGTTTCAGGTGGACTATGAACCACGAAATACAGTCTTATCAGAAGACATGGAAAATCTCAAAGACCCTTCAAAGCAGGCAAGTAGTGAATATAATATATTCATATCTGTAGTGATCACATTCTTGCTGGCCGTTCTTAGTGGTCACATCTCATTACCTACACTCACTGTCAGATTCTTATAACTGAGGTTAGTAGAACCACTGAAAAGTTTCTTATTTCCCACCCTCTGATGAGCCCCTCCTCCCCCCACCCCCCCTGGCCGTTAGACATGTCCCCAGTGTCTTCAGTGATGCTCCTGTCAGTAAAGCAGAAACCTTCAGCCTGGCATCCTAAGTGATGCATTCTGTTCTCAGTCATCCTTTCCCCTGTATGTGCTCCAGCCTAACTCTGTTTGCAGTGCTCTGTCACTATGCCTCTAGCTCTCCAGGCCTTGGCCTTTTAAAAAACACTAATCCTAAGTGATTATTTTGCTCTTTATCTATCTCCCCCATTTACTATAAGCTCTAAGGGGCAGAGTCCATGTCTGGCTTGTTCAACGCCATGCACAGGACCAGATAGGAGAGGACAGTGAGTGTTTATTTAACAGACATATTATACTAGTAGAAACCTTCAGTGGTCTTTCATTATGTTGAAATGTTCATACTCAAATAACTAGAAAGCCTCAACTGTGGAGAATGAAAGAAACCCCTCTAAAAATTGATTTTTTGCCATGTTAGCCCCTGATCTACCTTTATTTATCAGCATATGCTCAGGCTTGAATTAGGTACAAGGGACTGATTCCCTGGAGAAGTCCAAGTGAAGAAAAGCTTGTCCATGGATAGTTACTATACATGTTCTCTCTATTCTGACTTTGCCCCCTGAATCTGGTTGTCCCTTGGTTGTTACTCACATTCATGCTGACCAGTGCTGCTTCCTGCCTCCGGTCCTGGCTGCTTGACCAGATGGGGCCTACTAGTCAGACTCTGTCTACCCACTAAGCAGGCAAGTCACAAAGCTGTGTCTTTCTAGAGAAAGGTGAGAGGTCACTTAGTATGAAGACTTATAAATAATAATCACTGCTATGTAAAGGAAAAAAATTTATTCTTGGAAGTTAAAAAAAGAGGATTAACTGGGAAGAAGAGGGTTTCCAGCCAGCTGCTTCTTCAATCTCTCTTCCCCCCCAAGTAGGGTTTGGTTAAAGTGTTGAGATTGGTGCAGTTTCTCAAAAAAAAAAAAAGGTGAAATTATATTTGAGACAAACATATTAGAGGAAATTCTCTGGGCATCACTTTTTTGGGCTGGGGAGAAGTTACTTTCTAGACAGAGTAACATGCATACTTTTTTTTTTTTTAAGATTTATTTTATGCATTCAAGAACTGGGGTACAGGCCAGAGGTGTGGGGTTGAAAAGATTCACCAGAGACATAGTGGGGAGCAGAACAGGAACATTGACTGTGAAGTACACTGCTGAAAGGAGCAGTGGGCGGGACAGGAGAGGTCACGCCATGTGGGTCACCTCCCTGACGGTTGATCAAACTCCTGCTGCAGTCGCTGTGGTTAGCTTCATAGTGCTGTACTTTAACCCATTGCGCCACCAGGGAGGGCCAACATGCATACTTTAAATACATTTTCTCTGGTAGGTAAATTTGAGTGTGAGAAAGGCAAGAATTTAGGAGATAAGACTTTATGATAAGGAAATGCCTGTTTGGGTGAATGGCTGAAACTGCTGAGAGCAAGAAGAGATGGGGCTCCACACAGTGATTTCTCTTCACCTCTGTCAGAGAATCTGACAGGGAATCTGAGTGCAGGGAGCTTTCTACCTATGCAAATTCTTTACCTTTGTTAAAAATTTGTTGATTTTCTTTCACAATTTTTTTGTGTACCAAAAAAAAAAATTACTGTGTACCCTTTCAAGTACGAAGCACACACTGCACCTCGTGGCACAGGGGTTAAAGTCTCAGCTTTTCAAGCTGTTACCAACCACCAAGGCCTGAGTTTCAGCCCCAGCCAGGAGCTAACACACCTGATGCAGCAGGCCTCTCCTGTCTTACTCCCTGCTCCCCTCAGCAGTGTAGTTCAGTAGATCTGCCTATTCTACTCTCCACTCAGTCCCTGGTGAATCCTCTCACACCCTGAACCTCTGGTCTGTACCCCAGTTCTTGTATGCATAAATAAAAATAATTAATTAAAAACAGGAAGCACATGCTATGACAATGCCTCCACCATGTAACTTTAAATTTGTACATTCTAAATGTTCATCACCAATCTCTTCATTCCTAGGAACTGAAAAATGGATTTATTGGATCAAAACTAAGGAAGAAATGTAAGGATGCTGAGAATAAACTGGATTGGAGTGTTAGTCTTAGAAAATTTCCAGGTATAATGTGACAGATCAAAGATAAAGTATTCTAAATCACTCCATGGTTCATGTCTTATTTTCATTCCTGCAGAAGAGTTGGAACAAAAAACACAGGAGAATGATCTGCAATTTGACTTTCAGTGCTGTGCTTACTAACAGCTTAAGGCCATTAGGGGAAGTCAAATAGTCCACCAATGTCAGATTTACAGACTCATTTCAACAAGGGAGACCACACACCAAAGCGACAATGGGGCGTCTCACCAAACCCAGGAAAAGATGCAGTTTAAAGTTTGGGGGGAAGGGTGGAAAAAGTCTGGGTGAAATTTAAATAAAAGCAGAACTTTAATAGGTACAAATAAGGGCAGTGTGCAAAGCAGTCACTCTCAGGTATGGACTATGAAGGCGACCAGGGCTCTGCTCTGAAATGTGGAAAGAGAATTGTGTTCAGGAATACCGAGACCTTTCTTTGAAGCTCTGCACCAGGTTGGAAATTGAGGCAGGTTCTCTATGTTGAAGTGTCTTAGATCCTCCTAGTAGAGTCAGACATTTCATTTATACTATTATAATTTCAAGCATTGAAGTTTTTGATAGTCTCTGGTTTGAGAAAACAAGGTTTCTCGCAAGTGAGAAGTGATAGTCTCTCAGAGAGGGCTGATAGGACATTTTACAGCTGCCATGTGTCTTTGGGACAAACACTTTTCTGCAGAACTTGCAATTGAATTTACCTATATTCTCAGCTTGATGTGGAAGGTTGTGGAATGTAGCAGGGCAGATTTAAAAGTTCTTAATCTGGGCTATATTTTCCTTTCGCAATGTTATTTCATTGAAGGGGGGAAGGCTTTTTAATACAGTTGCCACTTCTAGGGAAAGAATGTGATGACAGTGGCTGTTTATTGAAAGGTTTCCAACTAGGGAGATTTGTTTGCATGATTACACATACAATTACAGATGTTCACAGAATGCTGTTTTTGATGTGATTTTAGACCTTGAGGTAGGTGAAAGAACTGACCCTAAGATTTGGAAAGATCTTCGCTTCTCTGAGAGTCCGCCGGAGACCTACCGTGAAGAAGCTGGTTCTATAACGCATGCCCATCAGTCCCAGGTAACTTTAATTTTTCTTTTTTTGAGAGAAAAATCTTTTAAAGAATGAATATTACAAAACAGCCTTAAGTATTTTTAGAAATACAGTCTTATAATCACCTGTAGTGTGTCCAGAAAGAACTATTTTTCTTTACACACATAATTTAGATAGCCTTGCCTACCTAGTTATTTAAGAGTTGTTGTTGCCAAAGCAGATATAAAGTAAAACAGTATGTAAGGATTTGGAGATTCAGAATCCCTTCCAAAACTGGGAACATGGGGACAAGTTTGGGAAATCTGACTAGCTTTCAGAGAGTATTTACAGGTAAAAGAACATAATGACTTCACCTTGTCTCTCATGATTCAGAGAGAGGGTGAAAGTATAGGGGCAAATGTTAACATATGCAATCGTTCAAGCTCAGCATACAAACATTATGTGAACTATCCCTGTTATGTCTGAAATTATCTTCAAAAGCTTACTATAAAAGTAAAAGAAAACAGGGATAATACTACCCTCCTCATAAGATCATTGTGAAATGTCAAGGAGTTAATGACAACAAAACACCAAAGACATTTTACTATCAAACCCTCCATGTTAGTTTCTCTGCATCACATTCCTTCTCCAATCTTCTTTTCTGTCCCCTACCTGCCATGTGGACCTCTAGACCACATGAAGCCAACTGAAACTCAGGATAGGCCATGCACTGCCCTGCCCCCGTGCCTTTGCAAATGGACTGATGACCACTGATGACCATTTGATAAATTTTGTTCTGCTAGTTCAGATTTAGGTGTTACTGCCCCTCTCACTGGAGTAAATGAAAGTGATGATTCCCTCCTCTAGTTTCCCATGGGACTTAATGCACAAAAGTGTTACCACTCCATTTTTATATTTTGTATGTACCTACTTCAGCTCCTTAGGGGCAAGAACAATATAATATTTCTTTTCCCCTTCCTTGCGTCAAACACAGTGCCTGCTACAAAGTGAACACTCAAATAAAAATATATAAATCAACTTTAGTATTTCTGCCTATCAGTAAGTAAATGCTACATATGTTTTTATAGGTGAGTCCTTTTGAGTCTCCTAGAGATGTAATCTTTCAGAAAAATGAATGCTAACATAGGTTTTTAAATTCTAAAATCTGGTTTGCCTGATGATCAACTCAGATATCTTTACTTGTAAACTTTTGTTTTCAGTGAAATACGCATATCTGATTATGAATAGCACTTCAATTTTTAAAATTTTGGGTATTGGAGTTATAATTAAGACTTTTCCCATCGTGGTTTTTAAAAAGGAATTCTGGATGTGGTAAGACAAAACACTGACGTAAGTTTTTAATGGAATTTTACATAGCTTTTGCCATGATTTTAATCTGTATTCTTAATTTTAGTTCTCTAGTTTTGCACACATAAATGACCAGAAGAGTTTGACAAGCACAGAAATTATGAGAATTCAAAGGGAGACAGACTTCCTCAAGTAAGTATTGCATTTTCTTTACTGTTCCATAAATCCTATCAAGACACATTGTGGTAAAAAGAATTTAAAGATAGGACACCTTTAATTGTTTTTATAATTAATTTTTTATAGATTTAAAGGTATGATTAACATAAACTACACATATTTAAAAAGTACATTTGATGTAATGTATGTGATCTGAAACTAATACCGTAATCAAGAAAATAAAGAAAGCCATCACTTCCAGAAGTTTCCTACACTGTACCCTTGTGCACTTTCACATCTACAGGCAATTGTCAATCTGCTTCTTGTCACTAAAGCTTTGTTTGCATTTTATTCCTTAAACAAAGGAATATTCAGTATGTGCTCTTGTTTGCCAGGCTTCCTTCATGCTGCCTGATTATTTAAAGACCGTCCATTCATTGTAGGTGTCAAATATTTCTTTCTTTTTATTCCTGAGTAATATCCCATTGTTTTTGTTCCCAAGTAATATTCCATTGTATAGATACATCACGATTCGTTTATTCAGTTACCCATGGAAAAACAGCTGGCGTGTTTCTAGTTGTCAGCTGTTAGAGATAAAGCTACTGTTAATATTTGTACAGAAGTTGTCAAAGGCAAATATATGTCCTTTTCCATTCTCGTGGGTAAATACCTAGGAGAGGAAAGACTGGATCAAATGACAGGTGTTTGTTTACCTTTTTAAGAGTCTGCCAAAATGCTTCCAAAGAGGTTATTCTACTTTACGTTTTCACCAGCATCGAGAATTCCAGTTTCTGTATGTCCTCATCAACACTTTCATTTTTATTTGTGTATTCTGATTTCTTCAATATAGAAGTTGAAGTCATCCATTTGAAGCTTTCTTTCCTTTCTAATGTAGTCATTCAGAACTTTAATATATAGACAGTGCCTCCTGAGTACTTCTTATTTTTTTTTAAAGACTTTAAAAAAATCTATTTGTACATTCAAGAACTAGGGCATAGGCCAGAGATGTGGGGAGTGAGGGTTGGGGTATGTGTGAGAGGATTCACCAGAGACAGAGGAGCAGGACAGGTGAATCTACTGAAATATACTGTGGAGGGGAGCAGTAGGCCAGACACGCTGCGCCATGTGGTTAACTCCCTGACTGGGGATAGAACTCATGTTGTGGTAGCTGGCGATAGCTTGATAATGTTGAGACTTTAACCTCCATGCCACCAGGGAGGCCCCTCCTGAGTATTTCTTTAGCTCTAGTCTGATATTTGTGTCTTCATTTAATTGTGTTTAAAATGTTTCCAAATCCCTTTGCTGTTTCTTTTTTGATCCATGGTTTTTTCAAGTGTTTTGTTAAATTTCCAAAATTTGAGGATTTTCCTTATATATTCTGGTATTTATTTCAAATTTAGATTTTTTTGGTCACAGAGTGGGTACTGTATGATTTGATTAATGATCCATGTGCATTTCCAAAGATGTGCATTTTGCTAGGTTACTTGTTCTGTATGTTAATTAAGTTAAGTTAGTTTACAGTATTGTCTTCTTTGTCTTTGGTGATCATTCATTGTTTAATAAATTGTTGAAAAGTTATGGTGAAATCTATGGTTATAATTATTAATTTGTCTACTTATCCTTACATTCCTATCAGGATTTTTGCTTCATGTACTTTTTTTTTTTAACTTCACGTATTTTTATTTATTGTTAAGTACTAAAGTATTTTGGGTTTTTAAGTCTTCTTGCTTAATTGATCCCTTTATCATTATCTATCCTTCTAAAATTCTTAATTTGGAAATCTATTTTGTATGATTCTAATGTAACCACTCCTGCTTTCATCTGATTGGTGTTAATGTGATACATTTTTTTTCCTTAAGATTTATTTATTTATGCATACAAGAACTGGGTACAGACCAGAGGTTAGGGATGAGTGGATTCATAAGAGACAAAGCAGGGAACAGAACAGTCAATTGACAAAGTACAACGCTGAGGGGAGCAGCGGGGGAGGCAGGAGAGGTCTGCTGTACTATGTGGGTCACCTCCCTGGCCAGGGATCGAACTTGTGCTTCAGTGGCTGTAGCTAGCTTCATAGTGCTACACTTTAACCTGTTGCACCACTGGGAAGGGCCCCATTTTTTTTCCTTTTAACCTTTTTTATTCCTCTACTTAAGGTTGTTTTTGTTTTAAGATGCATATAGTGAGGTCTTGCTTTTAAAAATCTGACAACACCTGCATGCTAACTGGGTTGTTGAGTGTATTTAGATTTATTTTGATTATTGATATGTTTGAATTTAAATCAGCTGTTACACTGTTTTCTGTTTGTCTTATCAATTTTTTTTGCTACCCTTTTCTTTTTTTTCTGCCTTCTTTTGGATTTATTGGGTATGTTTATGATCCCATTTTCTTTTACATCCTTTGTTGCTTATTAGTTATCACCTCGTTTT